CAGATATTAGGGATTTTCTTTTGCCGCTTACCCAGAAGTGGATTCAGCTCCGTTTGATAAAAATTATTTTTATGGCTTTTTCCAGCCCCTTGTGTTCTCTCTTCCTCCCCGCTCTGCTGCAGTCCTCCGATGATGTTCGCGCTCTGACCGCTTTCTTTGGCTGCCAAATTGGGAAAGAAAGATGGTGCCCCCTTGATCTGGTTGGGAAGTCAATTCCTTCTCTCCGGATAACCCTCGGCCCTTCTGCAAACTGTCAGATGCCTCTTTCTCTTTAAAAGCTGCACCCCAAACCTTCTTCTTATACCCTTTCTTTTGTTGCAAGGCCCCACATGTAGATGGCGCCACCGTCTATCTGCCTTCCGCAAGCGCTACAGTTTTGCTATACCTCTATAGTGTTCAATATTAGATTTACTGCCCTTTTTATGAAGCGGAATGATAAAAGATTCTTTCCAAACTTTGGGGAAATGCTGAAGTGATAACTGAAAAAGTGTTGACAGTGGTCTACATAATGAGCTGGCACAATTTCTCAAAACACAGCTAGGTAAAAGATCTGGACCAGAGGAGAAGGAATGTTTGATTGTTCTGAGATTATGAAAAACATCATCTTCGCTGGTAGGTAAATAAAAGTGGTGAGGCCGCCCTGGCCGCCTCCAATTAGAGCTGAGCTCCGTTTTGGTCCACACCCTCGATTTGTTGTTGTCTGCGCCCTTCTTAGTACCAGCCCGTGTCATTCAGGTAAGCTAGGATGGCCGCTACTGGCTGCCTTCCAACTTCCCCTAGTGACTCGAGTTGGCGTGCTCCGAAGTGTCGGGCTCTTTGTTTGTTGAGTGCCAGACAGTGGCACAACAGATGCTCTGGTGTCTCCTGCTCGCTTGGTTCCTTACAGCTTCTGCATTGTGGGTTGTAGGGTATCTTACAGGCTTGCGTGCCTATTGGTCAGTGGCCGGTGATGGTCCTCCTGATGTCCTTTTTGCTCTTGGAGATCAGTTCTGCGGTTCTCTTCCTATTGAATTCTGGCCAGCATAGTTTCGATCTTCTGTGCTCTGCCTTCGTCGACCATTCCTTGCTGGCTAATTGTTCGAAATGGTCATGAATTTCCGTCTGGACCGAGTTCAGGGAGATCTGGATGTCTGTTGTTGCGGAGTGTTCTTCTGACCCTTTTCTGGCCAGCTCGTCGGCTTTCTCGTTTCCGTCTATGTCATTGTGTCCGGGTACCCAGGCTATTTGTACCCTGTTGCCTTCTGCAAGTCTGTTTAGTGCCCCTTTACATTTGGCCACTAGTTTTGAAGTCGTCCGTGCTTGTGCGAGGGATTTGATTGCCGCCTGGCTATCTGAGTATATCCTCACCTTGGTATTCCAAAGGCCTCGGTCTAGCGAAAGTTCGGAAGCTTTCAGTATCGCGAGAACCTCCGCCTGGAAAACTGTCGCTGACTCTGGGAGGTGGAAGTATTCCTCCACCTTCCAGCTTTCGGCGAAGATTCCGGCCCCTACGCCGCCGCTCATCTTTGAGCCGTCGGTGTAGAGTGATACTTCATCCGGTTCGGTTACTCTCCCTCTCTTCCAGTCTTCCCTTGTAGGGTATATAGTGGTGTATGTGTTACCGAATTGCATTTCGGTTGTCATGTAGTCTGTGTCTACTGCCGTCCGATAGTTTATCTCGTTCAGAATCCTGCAGTGTCCGGTATGGTAGTCTTTCCAGCTTTGACTAGCCTTAAGTCGTACCGCACCTTGTGCTGCAGTGTTCCTGATGAAATGCTCTATAGGTATTATGTTCAGGATGGCGTTCAGCGCCGCTGCGGGGCATGATCTCAGTGCTCCCGTGGCTCCTGCGCATGCCGATCTCTGTATCCTTGTTAGTTTCTGGACGTTGTATGCCCTAGTTAATGCTGGCCACCATACTAGTGCTCCGTATGTGAGTATGGGTCTTACCACCGCTGTGTAAAGCCATATTATTATCCTGGGGTGGATGCCCCAGTTCTTTCCGAACATCTTCCTGCAGGAATAGAATACAATGCTTGCTTTCTTGGCTCTCTCGTTGATGTTCTGTTTCTATGAGAGTTTCGCATCCCGTATCACTCCCAGATACTTTTCCTGCTGTGATATCTCTAGTTCTATGCCATCTATCTTTGGCTTTGTGAAGCTGGGGACTTTAGTTCTCCTAGTGAAGAGCATTAGTTCCGCTTTACTTGGATTTATGCCCAATCCGCAGGCTTTTGCCCATGCATTGAGTTTAGTGAGTGCCCTTGTCATTAGTTCGCTGATGACGTCGGGGAATGGTCCTGAAGTGAGTAGGACTACGTCGTCTGCGTATGCTACCACTTTTACTCCTCCGCTATTTAGTGCTCTTAGTATGTCGTCCATATTTATCAGCCAGAGCAGTGGGGACAGGACTCCCCTCTGAGGTGTGCCTCTCTTCACAAATCTTGTGTGATGAGTGCCACTCAGTTCGGCTGTTATCCTCCTGCTCGTCAGCATTGCGCCAATCCATGCCCTGATGCCTCCTTCTATATCCAGGAAGGTGGCCATGGCGTAGTTTTTGAAAAGTAGAGCCTTTTCTATGTATCGCACTACCTCGTGTAATGCTGTTTCAGTGGATCGGCCTTTCCTGTACGCATGTTGCGCATTGGAAAGGTTTTTCTCCGTTCTTTCTCTGATGTGGATATCAATGATCCGTTCCAGTGTTTTCATTAGGAAAGAGGTAAGGCTTATCGGCCTGTAATCCTTGGCTTGGATGTGTCCCCTTCTTCCTGTCCCCCTACCCTCGCTTCCTTCCATGGAAGTGGTATGTGTGCTGTTTTAATGCATGCCTGGAAGATTGCTTGCAGCCATTTTCCCGTGCTTGCTTTTGTTGTTTGTAGCATTGCTGGTATTACTCCGTCTGGACCCGGGCTTTTGTACTTGTCGAAGGAATCTATCGCCCAATGCATTCTTTCCATGGTGATGATCTCTTCTACTTGTAGCTGCTGGTCTGCCCCCCTGGCTTTCCATTATTCTAGGTTCTTCTTTTTTGGTTTCCTGGGAAATGCGTATTCAGCAGGATTTCCAGAGACTCTTCAGCCGACGTACTTCCTGTCCCGTCGGGTTTATTTATGAGCGTGGGGCTTGTGTGTCCTATCGATAGGATTTTACTTAGCCTCGCCGTGTCTTTGACTCCTTCAAGCGATTCACAGTAGCTGCTCCAAGATTCCTTCTTGGCTAGGTAGATTGCCTTTTTGTATTCTTTGTGTATTGCTTTGTACGGCTGCCAGTCTTTGGTTCCGTAACTAGTGTTGAAGGCTTTTCGAACATTTTTTCTGAGCTCGCATAGCTCTTTGTTCCACCATGGTGGGTATGTCTTCTTAGAGTATGTTAGTCTGCATGACTCTTTGTAGGCTTTGTTCAGAATATTTGTGAAGTCGAGTCTTGATCCTTCTGTCTTTGACCTTTGACTGTACAATCTTTCCGTATTTGTCCCAGTCAGTGTTACAAGGGTTTCGCTTCGGCGCCGTTTCACATATCGGCATCACGATTTCGAAGAATATGTACCTGTGGTCTGAAAACGAAAGCAGTGAAGAAGACCTTTCCGACCCTATAAAGTATATATATCGGATCGATCGGAAAATGAATAGGAAAAAAATAATAACTTCGTTGTTTTTCAACATATTCTTATCTACTTTTAGATATAAGCTTCTTTTATAATTTCAGAATATTGGTAAAAATTTTATTAAAAAATCGGACAACATATAGCTGCCATAGAAGAGATCGGTAAATGTATACAATATGTAAAACTGGGAATGTAAAACTGTAACTGTCAAACTGTAAACATAATAAGTATAGGTAAAATGAAATGAAACTCTGTTTTGTGTGTGTTTTCAGCATTATAATTTATAATATAAATATCAAAACCAATCTGCAAGGGTATACAAACTTCGGTGTGCCGAAGTTAGCTTCCTTTCTTGTTTTTTTTTTCGTGCGGGGTCCCGCTTCCACCTCCCGCCCAACCGACCGAGGGGCGCAGCCGTGTGACGTACGGCACGATTCGCGAACTAGATAAACGTGGTGAATGAAGAAAAAAAGAACGTGGAAACGTTACGAGAGTACAAAAATAAAATTTAATAAGAAAAAAATATAATATAATAAAATATATATATAAGTAAAAACGCATGCAAAATAAATATAAAAAAAATATAATATGATGTAACTAACTAATAACTACGATAAATAAATAAAAACGCATGCAAAATAAATATAAAAAAATAATATAATGTAACTAAATAATAAGTACGATAAATAAATAAGAACGCATGCAAAATTAGACTACGGTGATACATTACGAGCTAACTCAACAAGTATTAAAGTTTTTAGTACAGAAGGGCTATCGCTACGAATTATAATGTCAGAGAGGCGGTTGTAATCCGTACATAAAACCCTAAAGGGTTCATATACTTCAAACTCCCGCCTACAGAGATTTACTACTAAAGGGATAAGGGTTCTAGATGTTAGTCGGGGAACGTGGAAGTTAAGCTGCCCTAAAAGAAATGGGCTCTCAACATCACCGTTTATTAGGTTATGAAGGAATACGACATCAAGCATCGTTCTACGGTTAGCTATGGAGGGTAAGTTAATTAATAGGAGTCTACTTGAATAGGACGGTAGCCTCTCATCAGCATCCCAAGTGTTGTGTATTACACCAAATGATGAGATGTGCGTCTGCTTGGCTTGAGCTTCAGATCTTATCTGTTCATATATTTTCGTTGTCTTCTTTTACATTTAAGTTTACAGTTATTAGTTTGTATGTATGTTAAATGAATAAGTGTGACCAAAAACAATTAACTTATAATTGACAAATATCTAACATGCCCCTCCTTAAGATGATACTAATATTATATTATAATAATAGTTTACATTTTATCTATATTAATATTTCAGTCAAATTAATTACATTTTAACATTTCGTTTTCGTTTTCATTTCATTTTGGTTATACTCAATTTACAGTTTTAACATATATTTTGATTTTATCTTATGATTTTACATTTCTAGAGTTGAAATAATATTTTTTTAAATTGTCTTCTTTACAACTCTTCCTCCTTGGCGTGGTCTCAACTCTCTTCTGGTGGGAGAAGTGTTAAGTTCAGATGGTAATTGATTGTTTTCATCTTCTATATAAACTTGATTCTCTACCGTAGAGTCATTGCTATTGACCACTTCGTTGTTGTTTGTAACTTCAGTTGCAACTTCATTGTTTGTTTCCATGTTTTCATTTCTTATTTGATCTAAATGTCTTTTTATTTCGCGATTATTGTGAGATAGAATACAACAATATGATCGAGGGCCTAGTTGTTCATTTATGGTTGCTTGAGTCCAACTAGCTTTATTTGGATTTTTATAATCTCTGACCATGACCTTTTGACCTTTTCTAAACGTTATGTTGCGTTTCCCTTTATAATCGCTTATACTTTTGTTTTGCTTTGCCTCTATTTGTTTAGTGACTGTGGGTGGTTTTAAAAACGTGAATCTTGTTTTTAATGAACGTCCAAAAAATAACTTAGCAGGTGATTCTCCTGTTGTGCAATGAACAGTGTTTCTGTAGTCTATAAGAAATCTATTTAACATTGTGTCAAACTCACAATTTTCATTTTCTTTAATATTGGCATATAATGATTTTTTTACTGTCTTGACGAAATTTTCTGCCTGTCCATTTGTAGATGGATGCCCTGGTGCAGTCAGTATATGCTTGACATTGTTGTTTTTCATAAAAGTTTGAAACTCCGCTGATGTGAATTGTCTGCCATTGTCACTGACTAAAACATCAACTAAACCATATCGACAAAAAACTTCTCTTAACTTGTTTATTGTAAATAAAGTTGTGATCTCTTTGGTCTTAAAAACTTCAACCCATTTTGTAAAAGAGTCGATGACAATAAACAAATAATAATTTTTGATAGGTCCAGCAAAATCTACATGAATCCTACTCCAAACTGTATCTGTCGATTTCCAGGGTATGAGTTCTCCTTTCTCAGGACTGGCCTGCAATTCTTGGCAAGGAATGCATGATCTAATCATCTTTTCAATTTCCAAATTAATTGCCGGCCACCAGACATAGGATCGTGCCATCATCTTGGTTTTAACAATTCCCAAATGTGACTTATGGAATTCGCTAAGTATCTTCTTTTGAAGCTTAGACGGAACTACCACACGGTATCCCCATAAAATACAATCATACTCAATAGATAGTTCACAAGATTTGTTAACATAAGCTGAAAATTCATTGCCTTTTAATTTTGAAATTGTACCGTTTTGAATTGCTTCAGCCACTTTTGCTAGTACAGGATCTCTTCTAGATTCCTTTGCTATGTCTTTAAAACTTAAATTGAATGAGTTGTTTGATTGAATGAAATTTACATAATTAAACTCATCAAAATCTTTGTGTGTTTCCCATTGAGGCATTCGTGATAGACCGTCAGCTAAGTTTGATGCACCTTTTACATATTCTACTGAGTACTCAAAACCTGACAAAATTACTGACCATCGCTGAATTCTTGCTGATGCCATCAAAGGTAAACCTTTTGATTCTCCAAAGATTCCTAACAAAGGCTTATGGTCCGTGCGTAGTATGAATTTAGTTCCCAATAAATATTGTCGTAATTTTACTACACAATAAACAATTGCAAGCGCTTCCTTTTCGAATGTGCTATAATTGATTTCGCTCTTTGATAGTGATCTAGATACGAAAGCTATTGGTTTAAGATCGTTATCAATTTTGTGTGACAGTATTCCAGCAACTGCATTGTTGCTAGCATCTGTTGTTAGCACGATTGGCAATTCCGGGTCATAATGTACGAGTACTTGCTCAGAAGTGATTTCACTTTTGATTTCTTCATATGCTTTCTGACAACTGCTTGTCCATTCAAATTGGGTGCCTTTGCGCAATAATTCATATAACGGATTCATTTTCTGAGCAAAATTATTTATAAATTTTGAATAATAATTTACCATACCAATAAATGCTCTAAGCTCTGACACATTTCTTGGTGTTGGTGCTAATGAAACACTTGATTTTCTATCATTAGTCTTGCTCAGTCCGTTTTTATCAATCATAAAGCCTAAGTAACAAATTTTAGATTTGAAAAATTCACACTTATGAGTGTTTAATTTTAAACCTACAGATTTTAATTTATTTAAGACAATTTTTAAATTCGTAATATGTTCTTGAAAATTGCGTCCTGTAATAGTTATATCGTCTTGATATACTACGACTCCCGGAATGCCTTGAAATAAGCTTTCCATAGCTTTTTGAAAAATTGCTGCTGCAGACTTAATACCAAAAGGTAGTCTCTTGACTTTTAATAAACCTATGTGTGTGCTCCAAGTACACATTCTTTGTGAACTTTCATCTAGCTGTAATTGATTATATGCATTACTCAAGTCTAGCTTGCTAAACAATATACCTCCAGTTAAGGCTGCAAAAATGTCATCTATTCTGGGCAATGGATACTTTACATCAACCAAATGTTTGTTTAATGTAACCTTGTAATCACCACATATTCTTATGTCACCATTTGGTTTTAATATTGGGACTAATGGTGTTCCCCAATCAGAATTATCTACATGCTCTAATACGCCTTCGTTAACTAACTTACGCAACTGTTTATCAACTTTATCTTTCCACGCTAAGGGTAAAGGTCTTGGTTTGAAAAATATTGGTTTTGTATCAGGTTCAACTTGCAAAGTGATTTTATGCACATTATAGCATCCTAATTTAGGACTAAAAACCTCTGCAAATTCGACTTTAATTTTATCAATAATATTTGAATGAATTTCAGACTCTTTAACCGAATTTATTTGCCTTAGCTCAAAGTTGAAAGATCTTAAAAATGTTCTGCCAAGCAACGGTGGACTTTTCGTATTTGTGACAACAACAACTATTTCTTTTTGTACGCCTCGATACTCTATTGTTGCATCGTACTCACCAACAATTTTAATTTTATCTCCATTGTAGCTTACATATGGAGTTCTGCACTCTCTAAGAGGCTTTTTGTTCGCAGATTTGTTATAAAATGAAGCTGGTACCAAAGTACAGGGTGCTCCTGTGTCGCAAGCAATGCTCATGGAACAACCATCAATGTTAACCTGCAGTAAATATACCTCACCAGAAGAGGAGTCTGAAGCCACGCTGTATATGGAAAAATCAAAAGCATTAGTTTCATAATTTTCAGAATTTGAATTTAATACACAATTTACGGTCTTATTTTTCGATCGACATACTGACGCTATGTGTCCAATTTTGTCACATACATGACAAGTACAGTTTTTATACTTGCAGTCATTCGATTTATGATTACGCCATCCACAGTGTTCGCAAGACTTCTGCTGCTTTTTGTTGTAATTGACGTCAACGTCGCTGCCAGAACTTCTCGAACCTTTTCCAGTGCCTTTGAAACCTTTGCCGTTATTGTTTGCGTGATTACTCCACTTCTCTTTTCCTTGTTTCCTCCCGCTTTTAGAATAGTGTGCGCCGTTTATGTATCCAACTGTGTCGTCCGTCTTCTTTGTTGCAATTTTCGTCTCGATTATCATTGCCTTTTTTAGAGCATCGGCCAATGATAACTTCTCGTCTTCTTCGCATATTCGCTCAAATATTAACGGTGAGAGGCTCATAACGAATTGGTTTAAAACAAACGCTTCCAAGTGTTCGCCAAATTTACAGTTAAGCGCCAATTGTTTTACACGTGCATACCACTGTGCCACTGTTTCAGCATCTTCTTTGATCGCATGATGAAATTTCTTGCGTTCACGGAAAACAATTGTGGGGGGTGTGTAGTGAGTGTCCAGAATGTTACAAAGTTCTTTGTATGTTTTTGACACCGGCGATTCTGGGCTGCATAGACTGTGTAGTACACTGTAAGGTGCTGCTCCGATCGACCTCAGTAACGTAGACTTTTTGCACTCTCTTCTGTGATATTCATTTCACAGAAATGTATGTTCAGTTTTTCTTTCCAAATGCAAAATGTTTCACTATTAGGCGAGAATTCGCTTACGTTTGACATTTGGTAAAATGTTGGCAGTGTTACCGCTTCACTTTTAGCCATTTTTGTTTTAATATATTTGTAATTACAATATATATGATGATATTTGGATTTTTGTGCGCAAATGTATATACAAATGCCAACTGTTTTTATTTCTTTTTACTCCTCGTCGCCAATTATGTTGTGTATTACACCAAATGATGAGATGTGCGTCTGCTTGGCTTGAGCTTCAGATCTTATCTGTTCATATATTTTCTTTGTCTTCTTTTACATTTAAGTTTACAGTTATTAGTTTGTATGTATGTTAAATGAATAAGTGTGACCAAAAACAATTAACTTATAATTGACAAATATCTAACACCAAGGTAAGCCACGGAGGGCGAAAAGTAAAAAGTTCTTTTGTACAGATTCAATACGGTTAATATGGATTCCGAATTGAGGACTCCAGACGCATGAACCATACTCCAATATAGGGCGAACTAACGAAGTAAAAAGGGTCTTCGTTATATAAGGGGAATCGAATTCCTTCGACCACCTCTTAATAAAACCGAGCATGCCTTTGGCTTTATTAACCATGCACGAAATATGTTCAGAGAACGAAAGTTTAGGGTCTAAGCGAATGCCTAAATCATCAACGAGAGATATTCTTTCAAGAGCGCAATCATTTAGCATATAAGTGGCAAACTGGGGAGTGACACGTGAAAATGTTATCTGCTTGCATTTAGAACTATTGAGATGTAATAAATTAGCATGACACCATGCTTGAAAGTTATTAAGATCCGATTGCAGGTCTGACTGACAAGAGCTGTCCTTATACTGCAAGCATAGCTTAACGTCATCAGCGTACATAAGTACTCTAGAATTCGTTAGAACCAGCGGAAGGTCAAGCTTCCTTACAAGAAGAGAGTGATTAACCGAGTCAAATGCTTTACTGAAGTCTGTGTAAATCACGTCGGTTTGAAAGTTACGTTGGAAACCTCTAATAACGAAAGAGGTGAGTTCCAGGAGTGGTCGATCTTCGCCTCATAAAACCATGCTGACATAGAGAAATTACGGATCTGCATAAACGCTGCAAGTGAGGAGTAATTACATTCTCGAAAAGTTTTGGAATTGCCGACAACTTAGAGATTCCTCTATAGTTGCTGGCGTCCGATTTGCTACCTTTTTTGTGGAGAGGAATGATAAATGATTCCTTCCAAATAAGGGGAAATTCTGAGGTTTCTAAAGATAAGGTAAACAATTTCAGAAGGGGATTGCACAGAGCTCCGGCACAATACCTGAGCACGCAGCCTGGTATTCCATCGGGACCCGGTGAGTAAACTGGTTTTACACGATGAAGATCCGAACTAAGGGAGCTTTCGGTTAAAATAGGACTGAAAATTAGGTTCGACTTGGGCAAATAAAAAGAGTAAGTCTGATCTAAGCTATTTGAGGAACAATACGTAGTTTTGAAAAACTCGGCAAAGAGATCGGCGATGGCCTGATCAGAGTTTGCTGTAGCGTTCTTGAACGAAAGCGATGAAGGATGTAGATTGGGTTTTAGCTTAGTGTTAACAAAGTTATAAAACTGTTTCGGGTCCTGCCTGAACTGCACCCTACATCGAGTTAAATAACTCTTATAACACTGCGCATTTAGCACGGTGAAATTCGACCGAGCACTAAGATATCTTGAATGAACAGTAGGAGATCCGGTGCGTTTATAGCGATTATAAAGCCTAGATTTAACGTTTTTTAGGCGTGTCAGCTCTTTGGTGAACCAAGGTGGTTTACTAGAAACCGACGGATAGGCTAAAGGAACACATAATGCAAAGAACGCATTCATGGCACTGTAAAAAATATCCAGGGCGGACGCCATGTCAGTGCACCTGTAAAGTTCAGACCAATTAAATTCAGAAATCAAGATATCTAGCCTATGAAAGTTTGCTTTACGAAAGCAGCGAACTTTAGTGGCTGAGCGACTCAGATCAGGTTTGGTCTTTACGACAATTCCCAAATCGATGGTCACTTCGAAAGTAGGGTGGTAAGGGTCTTCGGGAAGCGTCAATGGATCAACTCTTGTTAAGTTTACACCTACAGGATCAGAGATGAAACACAGATCTAGTAGGCGATTTAAAGACAACGAAATGTCAAGCAAGCCATCTATGAGGTCATGCTGTGCCTCAGTTTGGAGGACATTGGACGTACCATCTGATGACCAACGAGCTCCAGGTACATTGAAGTCACCTAGAGTTACTAGTTGGTCTCTATCCGAAAGCATGTTGGAAACGGCCTGAATTGCCGAAAGGTGTTTCCAATAAATAGGCTCTTCAGCAGATGGAGGAACGTAAGAACGGTTATATAGATAAAACTACCTGGAAATGATAGTTTTACACAGATAAATTCAATACCTGTGAGATCGTCAATTTGAACCAGTTCAGAACTAAGGGTGGAGTCAACAGCAATTAAAACCCCACCACCTCGCTGGGAAGGACGGTCTAATCTATAAGTTGTGTACTTATACGGAAAAATTTCGGAGCTGAGAATCTCCGGCTTTAACCAGGTTTCGGTAAACACAATCACCTGGGATGCAAACGAAAAACTATCAGAATACAATTTAGAGAGCTTGCTGCGTAAGCCTCTAGTATTCTGATAGGAAAGTAGGAGGGAGGTATTTAGTTTTTTGGCACTGCCGTGACGCCCGCTGTCGCTATGGTTTGTGCCGGCCGTGAAGGCCGTTTTTTCTTTATTTTTACCTACACTACAGCGTGCTCGGGCCAGAAGTCACCAGAACAAATTGTGTCAAAAAGCTCAAGGGATACACTTATCTTGAAATATGAGATGTATGAGAAATTGTTACAGATTGTGACGTCACGACATATAATACTATCGAAGAGAGACTCACCTCTTTCGTTTGTCTCCCTACTTCCCCACAGTGTTGGCATCGCACCCGAGGGTGAGCGTGGTCTTAGTCTCCTCGACCCACTGCATTACCCAATTAAACGCTTCAGGTGGTGCTAGATCTAAGTTGCTGAGATTGGGGTAGAGAAGAGAATTAATGTTGTTTTTAATGATTATACCCACCCTCGGCCTACCTGTCGAGTTTGTGTATAATGTTGTGTATCCTTTTATGGCCATGCCAGAGATTCGTCCGTCCCTTGTCCATGGCTCTTGTATAAGGCCGATGTCGATGTCCTTCTCCCGGATAAGGACCCCCAGAGAAGCGTGGGAGCTGAGCATCAGGTTTATCTGAACGACCGTCGGCATTAGATCGGGGTGGTGTTGGGGGTGCTGTCGTCGATCGCCAAATCGTCCAGCAGCTTATTGGCGTCCTCGACTTCGTCTTCCAGAATATCCTCCGGTTCGTATAGGAAGACCTTTACCTTGGCTTTCCTAATTCCGCACCGGACTTTGTTATCTGCTGCCTTCAGCTGTTCTAGGCAGCGCTGGTTTATCAGGCACAGGTGTGGCTGGCTGGACTTCATTTCCCGTTTCACTCTGAGGATGGCCCAGTCCTCCATATCAACTACCTTGTTCACCGCTCGCAGAGTCTTGAGCACCCTTTCATGGCGCCCATCGTTGTTGAGCTCGTCGACAAGTGCCATTGCGAGGCTGTCTCGGGCCACCTCGCTGAACTTTTTTGCCGGTTTAACGAAAGTGGTCGGTCTCGGTGCTCCCTTAGCGTCCTTGGCTCTCTTCGGAGCGCTCTCGCTCACCTCTTGTGAGCGGTTGCGCTTTGCTTCGGGAGGCAAAGACGTCTCTGGGTGCTCCTTTTTGTAGCGCTCGTATTCCTCGATCACTGCGAGGTACCTGGCCTTGTATGCTATATCGCGCTGGTCGGCTTTGCCCTCCTTTTCATTCCTCGCTATTTTGGCGAGGATGAAATGGGCCTTGCTTACCTGCGCTTCGCCCGTCGCACAGTAGCGCCTTTTCTCATTTAGCGTTGCAAAAATCATATCTTTTGAACCAAATAAGGTAATCGAATAATTTTAACGGCATTGGAGAGGTAATTATTGTAAAATATATATATAGTGACATATCCACAGTCCCATAGACTCTGTCTACGCCTACTTTACACACCACACAATACACAATATTGTAATACCCTGTAACACAAACACACTTGCCCAATACACCCTTTGCTACCCTAGCTTATATCCATACACATCAGATAGCAACCGCCGGATGTTTATAAGAATTCCAAAGCCAAAGCTAGCGGAATAAACCCAGGCTTTACACAAAGGATGCAATCTGAAACTCTAAACAAACTCCAGACAGTCCCTTCTGTAGACTAAACAATTATGACTTAAGTCATCACACGTTCCCACGTTCAAAGTTCGGACTCGCCAAAGTCGAAAACAAAAATATTAGATTTCAATAAACAATCGAAAATCAAAGAGCACTTATATCCAAGAGCGAATGCACTTGAATCTAAGAGAAGATTAATTATCAACTCCAAGCTCTCTCCTAAATCCTCTCCAGAACTTTAAAGTTTAAATCCATATCTGAAAGCTCGAGACCGAGGCTTGAACGTCAATCTATCCAGATCAATTAATTGAGTTCAGTTTAAGACCTAAAAGATTTAGGTTGGTGTTCTTCAAAATAAAATAACTTGTAAAACCAATATTCAGTTAAATAAAGTTTATATTTTTTTAACTTATGAATATCGCAAGTATTTAATTGGCGCAGTCGGTAGGATCCTAAAATAAAAGAGTCCTTAAAGTACGGTACTGGTGTAACTAAAAAGGATATGCTATATGACTAGCAGTCCTAACACTAGCGAATTTTAAATAGTGATTCTAAAAATTAGTGATCCGCAGAAGAATCTACGTGATTCAAGTGTCAAAAAAATCCCGTGCGGTCGGAAAAATAAAATCAACAAGAGATTATTTAATTCCGTGAGAAAAACTGAAAATCCCGTGAGGTCAGAAAATA